ACTAATAAACTACATGTACGGTGTATGCTAGTTTAGTTCTTTTTGACTGGTTAGACGTGTTATTCTTTTTTCATTTTGCAACTTTTATTGCATCTTTATTTCAGTAGTGTACTTTGTTAGTTCGTTGCTGTGATCATATTAATTAAGCGTAAACTTTACCCTGTCGAATGCCCTTACCTTTTTTCACTCGTTGCTATTTTTCTTTCTTTCTTTTCCCCTCCTCACTGAGGTGTGTATCGTGTCGGGGAATACTCCTTTGGGTTTCATTAATGACTTTTAGTTATACCTAGGTTTTACGGTAAAAATCTAATAATATATAATAACTCCCTCGTTTGTGATTTGCTCAATGTGGTGTGTTCTGCGATTGTCCTAGAAATAAAGGTGCAAACTGGATGAGCTATCTCTCGCAGGCCACATGTCTAATTGAATTTGATCTCAAGTTGATGAAAAATAACTTGGTAGCAATTTCTCATGGAACAAACCACTGTGGAGTTCGATTGATATCTAACCAGTGTTTATCCAGGATTCTTTTCCTTAATAAAATATAGTTCTACCGCGTCTTTGTAGCTGACTTTATTTACATGAAACAAAGTCTCTTTGCTTTTGAGGCACTGGAAAGGCCAGGCTGAAATATTTCACTCTTTAAATTTTTTCATCATTATTTTTATTTTTCTGGCAATATTTGATAATGGGTTTGCAGATGTACATGAAGTGTTTTGTTCCAAATTCTAGATGTGTTAACGTTTGGCTTTTGGAGTTTAATTTATATGACTCAGTTTTTCATTATGTGCCATATTGTACTACTGTTATTTTTATTCCCAATTTCCATTTTACAGTGATTTTGTTGTTTTTACTTTTTAAAATTGAATCTTGTTACATTTATTTTTACATGCGTAAAGGAGTTAGAATCTGAGATGGAATAGGTCAACTTACAAAATTTGTCCCCATGTTTTAACTTTTAAGAAACATTGCATGAATTTTCAAAACTGCCTTGATTTGTGCATTTGATATAATGCACACATACTTTCCTTCTCTTGGAATGGTTAATCCCATGTATAATTTATATGAAACTTGTTTAAGTAGCTGAAGGTGTATTTTTGGATTTTTTACTCAGCACAATCAATGCTTATATGGGTGATGTAGGATTATGACATCATTGAATATTTAGTTCAGACAGAGCTATACCATTCAGGATTGTAGGAGAATGGTCTATACACTATAGCATATATTTTAATATGGCTATGAATGCAAAGGCAATAAAATGTTGGTTTTTAAGAAATCGTTGGCGGATATTTTTTTTACCAGAAGCCAATATTTTTGAAAGGATGTTTCCAAGACAATTGAATGGTCAATGCCTAATGCTGTATTTTTAGGATGGTGAAGAGTAGTGAAGGGTTGTGAGGTGTGTTCATAGAGAGCAATATTAAAGTGTTTATTATTAATATGCTTGGTCCATTACAGCAACTTTCTACAATAACAATAGTACATTACAATTGCCTATGATCCAATTAAATTCATAAAATAAAATAGTAAACCTGATTGATTACCACGGATGCTTTTTTCTGGTGTCAGAAAGGTTTTATTTACATTATGGGAAGAGTTTACGAATAACTTACAAAAATAACTTATAACTCTTATGATTTCTTTTTAGCTTGTTTCAATAAGCATATTGGTGTAGTTGAAATTAGCTGTTTTCAGTTTATTTTAATAAGTTTCATGATTAAATTTATGGCATTAACTTTCATGTAAGAAGAGCTTATTGAATAAGTATTTAATTAAGCTGTGTGCCAAAACACACCCTACGAGACAAATCTATTTACTTTGATATATCTTTTGTTTATTACTAGAATGTCACTTTGTTTCCTATTTTAGAAGTTTATGTATGAAATAGTGATAAAAATAAAAGATGTTTTCATTATTTATTGTACAAATATTTGAAAATAGGATATAAAAACAAAAAATATTACACTTTCATAATTAAAAATGAAAGTAGAAAATGATAAAAAAGGCATTTTCTCAAACCAAAGAAGCTCTAAGTTTAGCCTTTGGCCTCCGAATAGAGTGGTTAAATTGTTCCTAAGTTGTTTAGATGTGCCTTGATGAGGTTAGTTATGTGTCGTACCTCTTGCTCTTCTCTATTCTTTCAATTAATTTCTGCTTTAAAAGGAATTCTAATCTTAAAACTTAATTTTTTTTGTATTTTTATATATAAACACATTGATATCCTAGTTGGCGGTGATCACGATTTTCATGATTTTTGCTGATATTTTTGTTACAATTTACCTTGTTGGATGAGATATAATAAGATTTCAATTTATTTCATTAAATAAAGTTCAGAGTTAAAACTTGCTTGTGAACATTTTGGTTCAAACCTGCTCATTTGATTTTAAGATAAAATCTCTTTTTTTAGGCATGGATTATAAGATTATATATGTTAATAGAAATGACCTCTCCCTCTCCATAGTGGGAAGAAAAAATTGCTAAGCTGGAATCGATTCTCTGCTACATTTAGTTCTACAAAATGAGTAGATTGCCTCTAATTCATTTTTGAAAATGCACAAGCAATTTATTGTAGTCGTACTTTGTAGATATTACATCAATTTTAATTTGTTTATGACAGAACATAGGAACTTGTAAATGAAAATATGAAGGAAAATAAAATATTTATGGGGCTGTACTCCTTATGCTAATGATCTATATATTCCTCTTCATCAATTGTGTACTGGCAATAATTTTGTAATGATTTTTCACTTTCTGAACCTTGCAGCATGGTGGTTTCTTTCTAGGGGTGCACCATTCTCTTTTGCACATCCTGGCTTACTTTGGGTCTCTTTTCTTCTGTTATTGAGCCACTTGATTCATTTTAATTTTCCTTTTTTTACCCTGAGCGTTTCTTATACTCTCCCTTATCTTCCTGATATACTTTATCTCCTCTTATGAGTTATCATAAAAACAAAAGCAAAGTTCCAAGAAAGATAAGGATATTGAATAGCTCTAAAACTCCTATGAATAGGACTACTGTGATGAAAGAATGTTTAAACACCAAACTGAGATTCTAAACATGTTAAAGGGAATGATCATAATGAAATTTGTTTCTCGTTTTATATGGTAAGATGAGATTATGTATATATTATTTTCTATTTATAAGGAAGTTCTACTTCAAAGTATTTTTCATGTGTGTCTGTGAATAGAAAATTATTGGTATTTGAACAGCTTGCTTTGTGTTGTTTTTTTTTTTTTACTGCCTCTTAATTCCCCCTGTCCCTTGTTAACAAATTTTTCTTGAACGTGGCACATTAATTGTATATGTGAGCTCAATGTCGGCTTGTTATTCATGTAGCAAACCTCATATAGTGGGATAAGGCTTGATTGTTGTTGTTGGCATCTTAATTGTTTGAATTAATTTTGTTCTTCACTGAAATCTATCATTTGCAACGGCAGATGTGTTTGAAATTGTCATATAGGCATTACTCTGTTAGTACCAATATACAATTGCTGGACTTCTTGAATTGAGTATCAAGCCCACAACATTATGAGATTGCTGATTTTTATTTATGGAATTGAGAGGGACACTGCAAACCCTTCAACTCAGGTCCCTTTATACAGTTTGTGGTTCTTAATTATTAGTGATGGGTGGCATCACGTTTGCTGTGAATCTACTATTAAATTATTCATTTGTTTAGTTTTCTCTTCAAGCCTGAAGTGATGGTTTGCATCTTAATGATCCAATTTTATTGGATTTAGTTATATGAGTGAAATTAGATTCTTTTATTGGATTTAATTGCATGAATGGAGTTAGATTCTTTTTTATGCTTTTACATATGTTTAGCTTTTCTAATTCATATTAGAGAACTGTTGTTATTGTTATCATTTGGCCCCTTTGTACTTTTTAAGAAATGATTTTATAGCTATTAAGAACAAACTTTTCCATAAGCTTTAATGGTTAAATGAGGACCCATGAATGATTATTGCTCCTTATGAGCCCTCTGGGCTTGAATCGTGGACAATGCACAAACTTGCCTACCTTTTGTTAAAATTCAGTTTACTTAGAAGAATGGAGGTTAGAAGGATCAGCTTCTAGACTATTTTGTCATGGAGGTTGTGATACCATCTCTGCAGTAATTTATGATAATAATGTCATGTTGTGGCTGTGGTGGTCAGGCTTCCATGATACCGGCCACCAAACTTTGCTTGTTTAGGTTGTGTTATTACAAATATTTTTAAATATTTTTTTTTGTCTTTACTTGTTTAAATATAAATACTTAGTTAACATAATACTTTCTCCGATTCTTTTTATAAAAAACAAAATGGAACCTTTTCTTAGTCCTTATTATAAGAAACAAATGATAAATTCAAGATGTATTAATTGTTAAATTTCTTTTATACCTTTCTTTTATTAGTATTATTAAATATATAAATACAAATTAATAATTACATCATTTAATATCATGGGTATTCTGGGAATACATTTTATATTTATGAAAAACATAACTGACTTAATTACTTTCCTTGTTTAGTCTTTTATTTCTTATAAAAAGGACAGGAGGTAGTACTTGTCATTTATTTGATTGTAGATTTTAATTGATGGTTTTGGTTCTGATTCTGAATAGCCATGATTATAAAAGTCAGTTTTAAAAAAGCAGGTTTTGTATTAAAGCATTGGAATTAGTGTGTTGCATATAGTTATATGTCGTGTTTGCATCACATTCTAAAGTAATACTATTACATTATGCTTTAAGAGTTTTCTTTGTTTTCTAATATATTGATCTCTCTTCCCACTCACCACATAAAGCTTTTGGTATGGATGTCATATTTGTATCCTTTTAAGTTTAAAAAAGAACATTATCCTTTTTTAATTTTTTTCAAGTCTAAATGATATTAAGTCAAGAAGAGCAAAATGGTGGGGTGATATTAACCATTCATTTATGAATTTTAAGTGGAATTTTGGTTAAGGAAGGACTTGAAATTATATGGGAACTTTAAATGGTTATTTTTTTTCTTTCACAGGTGTTTAAATTCATTTTGCAGTAGTTGTATATTCCCTTGTGCTGGAGTCCATATACTCTATTGCAATGATCTTATTTAATGTATTACTAACATCATGGTTACTTTAGTTTGACTGCTTTCACCCATTTGAAGGCCTGAAATAATTTTTAATATAATCAAACAACTGAAATGAATTACAATTTACTCATCTATTGGTTTGAAGAATTTCTTACTTGATTGAGTTTTAGCTTCACATAAGATGCTTCATTGTTTATCACGTACATGCTAAGGGTTGCTTTTTCTTTCTTAGATAATTTCCTATTAAAATCTTTAAGCTAATCAGTCTTTGACCTACATGCCACAATGTTTGAAGAAAAAGCATCAAGTTAAAATCTGAGTCCATTTTTCTTGATAACAATCAAGAAACACCTATCTCCTGCAAATACATCAATGCAATTGCAATCTGCTGCAGCAATCAAAACAAATTTGATGTCAATGCTTTTGCATAATAATTAGTGTGGTCTATCAGCAAAATGATCATAATCATACCCCAACTTTGTAGTTCCTGAAGGTGCCTTGTAGTTTTGGTTCTCTGGCTGGCTTAGCTGGAGATTCACAGGAACTTGCAAATCCTCTCCTATGACTAGGCCATTTGTGAGAACAGAATTTCTTTTTGTCTCATTTTCATCTTTTGTTCCATAGACCTGAGTTAGTAAAACTCTCTTAAATGTTCAGAATAAAACACCTAACATGGTTGTGCACTTGTGCTCATTTAAAAAGTGGATCATTTAGTTTGAGGAGATTATTTTAGTTTGTATTGCCATCCAAACCAATACCTTTTTTTTCAATTCCATGTTTTCTTGACAAATTAGGTTTACCTTCTTATACAGTTCCATATTTTCTTGGTGTATGAGGTTTCCCTGCAGAAGATAAAAAAATATTTTAATTAGTGAATACTAAAATTATTAGTTTCTTAGTTTTAAGACTGACCTTTCGATTTAGTTCTTGTATTTCATCCATTAAAAGTTGATCCTGCAGAAATCAATCTTATGTTAACTATTGTAGCCTTAGCTTCAAACTTGAGCATTGCATTTTTTATATAAAATACAAACTTTTTTCATGCGGACACCATGAAGGCTAATTTCCAATTGGTTCTCCAAATTTCGTAATTCTTTGACTGTTAAACCTGATAGTTCTTCCCCCATCATTTTCCTGTTAAATCATGATAAAAGTAGTGTTTGTGTATTAGAACCATAATAATTGGTAATTCACTATAAAGGTTAGACACAAACGAGATGATGGATGTGTTAATTAGGAATGTTTTTTTTTTCCCTTGTATTTTGTAATTATTTCATATTCAAGAGACTCTTTCAACTTTATGTGTTTCACGATAATAGTAATAATAAGGGGAAACTTCACTTTGGTCCCCTAGCTGATTCCAAGTTCAGGTAAAGGAAGAGAAGGGGGGGGGGGGGTTGTGTTAAAACCTTTAGTAGTCCACGTAAAATTTGTCAAAACATTTTATATGGATTACTCATGACAATATTGTGTCAGGGTTAGGTTGTTTTCTAGAAATACTGTATTGTATGATTCAAGTACAATGTCAAACGATCTAAAGTCGTTGCATCGACGCCGAGATGTATGCAATGATGCTGAAAATTGGATAATGTATCAAAATGTATGAAATGAGATAAAAAAAATATAAAGTAAAACACAATATAATACTTTTAAAGAGTTCTATCAAAATGTTGGGACAATGTATAGTGAAGCACAAATGTACAAGTTTGCCAAAATTAGAGAAAAAATCAAGAGATTTGGAGCAAGTTAGATGTATTAAGGATGAAGAAGAAAAATTTTTAGTTACATATCAATAATTGTTGTTAGATTGATAATTGTAAAACAATTGGCCTCAATAATATTTTTATTGAAGTTTTAGAAAACAAAGAATTGAGTTATTAAGTTCTTTAATAAGATTTTGAATTATAAGAATATGCCAAATGAATGAAATAAAATAACAAAAAACTCTGGTCATTATACATAAAAATAAGGGTGATATACAAAATTGTGTACTTCATAGTAATTAAACTTATGAGTTACATTATGAAGTTCTGAAAAAAAAAATGATTCAAAACAAACTATAGAAAGATTGCTAAGAATCAATTTAGTTTCATGTCAATAATGTCTACCACAAATCTCTAAGTTTAGGTACTTGAGATTAATTTTATATAATGACAGATAAATTAACAAAGATTCTACTCAAAGAATTCAAGTTGGATGGTTAAAGTAGAGAACAATGTCAAAAATTATTTTTGATTATAAAATACTTATTTTATTGTATTGCAATTCAACTAATTATCTTATTTAACAGTGAACGCTGGACTTTAAAGAAACAACATGAAAAATTAAAAAGATTAAAGTATAGATGAGTGGTTACATAAGAAAAAGCAAAATAAGAAATGATAGTATATGTGTGAATATTAATGAAACAAATGACTGCGAATTATCTAAGGTGATTTACTTACATGTAGAGAAGATCACTGGAGGTAACAATGAAAAAAGTGGATGACATGATTTTTAATCTAGTAGAAAAGAGTAGTGAGAGATCCAGAATAACCCAGGAAATTATTAAAAGAAATTTGTTGATGGATAATATTTCAAAGAATTTGATTTTTTTTACCAAACTCAATAATTTATGTAGTCAACCTTACCTAGCAAGATAATATTTGGTGGTTGTTTTAATAATAATAAGGGAAGGGAATTACTTTCTGTAACAGTTGCTGTTTGACACATTTTGGTTAAGAGGAGGACTAGAAACACACTTTTCAACATGCAAAATTTGAACCAATTAGGTTTTCCATCAATTCAGCTATGTCTAACTGTGTTATTTGCGGCTTAAGGGAAATAGTTGGAATATATTTACTAACATATTTTGCACATATTAGATAATGTTGTGACAGAAGAAGAAATTACTGAGTTTAAAGGATAAGGATTTGTAAAAGCACATGGTTAAATATTAGTCAACTAAAATTATGGTAGTGGTTAATGGCTGTTAATCAGATTTATAATTACTCCTTGGACAGCTAATCAGCTTTATAATTAATCCATGAATAGCTCCTGTACCAAATGTAGTCATGGTACAACCTCAACAGTTATTTTCCAAAAACTGTGTTTCAACAATAATTAACTAATTTTACTAACAAGTTGAAATTATCTTGTTAATGTCTTCTATTTATTTCCATTTAATTGTTAATCCAATTATGCAATTCTACCAGGGAATTCTCTAGGAAATACAGTAGTTAAATTGAACTTCACCATTGTTTTATGTTGAAAATTTATGTATCATTATGCATTGTGTAGACACATGTTGATATTGTGTATAGGCAGTATTGCCAACCACCACTAACACGTGTACTTGTTGATTTCTTAGTGCCCATTTTATGTTTTTGTAGAATATAGAGTGATGAATTGTAAGCGTGCCTTCACATACAAAAAGTTACTAGTGAGGTATTAATCACGGCCATAAATAATAGAGTAATTTTCTCCTGAAATAGCTTCTTAACCACATATCTAAGTAACTGCTATATGATAACTACACTGGACTAACTTGTTAATATGCTAAAGAAAGACTGCTGTCAAGAATTCATTTGAAAGTGGATCCTTAAACTCATTTTTAAATTAAAGCATAATATGTTCTGAAAAGGGTGTACCTGTGACTTTCTTGCAAATTGTGTAATTGTTGCCTTAACATTGCTGCCTCCCTTTGCCAAAACTAGATATTAAAAGTAACAAAATAGTATGTGATTAGATATTAGAGGAAAAGGAATCACCAAATATAAATACTTTTATCAGAAATAATTATTTAGGTTCTCCCAGTTAATTAAATTTTAGTCTTGAATTTGGGTTGGGCCTAACTAAACCCCAAAAGTTTGTGAGGTGAGCAAAGAACTAGTGGTCTAAAAATATCACCACTTATAGTTACAGTTTTATGCTTGGAAGATTTCCCATTGAGTTGGAAGTGGTTTTCTTTTAGCCATTAGCTATATATGCCATTACTTTTTCTTGTAAATATGCGGTTCTAATTATGTGTTGAATAGGCAGGTAGAGTGTCTTGTGAAGGGATGGAAAAGGTTATAAATTAAAGAGGTTGAAATTGTTAAAAAAAAAAAATGAAGAAGAAGCATGGTGATTATAATTTGGTGACTTTTTGGAATTTGATGGTTAAGATATAAAATTTTGTAGAAAATTTATGCTTTCAGAAAAACTTGCTAGTGAGATTGAAGGGATCTTTAAGAAGATCTAAGTTAAACAAGATGTTATGAAGAATGATAATTTTGGGTGAAGTTTGCTCAAAAAGGATACTAGTTGGAGTTGGAAATCAGAACTCAGGTAGGTGATGGGTAAAAGTGCAAATTGGATAAGTTAGGATTTTGCATATTCAAATATAAAGCTTCTCAACAATACCACTGCTGATGATAATTAAATTACTGCTTGCTTATAAACTAGGAGGACTAGGAATTTTAATTCTATGATAGCGGAGGACTCGTGTTATCGCAGGCTGATCTCTATGAACTAATAATTAATCATGCTACACGCCTTGGAAAGGACTTATAGTTGTTCTTACATATCACCTAATATTGGGAAGTGCTTGCATAGAGAATCAAACCTAAGCATTTCTAATGAAGAAGTGCTTCTATTCACCCATCCCTTGTTCGTGGTTCATTTTACTTGTTTAACTTTGCAACTGTGCCTTTGGATGTGGAGTTTCATCTGGGAAAGAAAGGCGGTAGTGGAAGCAATTAATATCTATTTCTTTCAGAGTTCTTAGCTGACACCATGGTTTGTGCTTTAGCCAAATGTGGTTGTTTTGTTTGTAGAGCAGAGTGGTAAAGCATTTCTCTTTTGTGGCATGTATGATCATGCCAACCAGGAACTGAGGTTCTGCTAAGTTCTTGCTTTTGTTTTATCATACACTCTAGGTACTAGATTCTCAATTTCAAGTAGGTGTTCATAGATTTTAGAACAATCCGTTGCATTCTACCCTTCAAGTGCTATACTGAACTTCCGAAATTTGGATGGCTGCCCCCAAACTTATGATATTTTTTATCTTGAAAAGTGTGTCGTCTTTGATTCAGCAATCAGCATTGCTCTGTAAAGAAAAGCAAAGAAACTAGCAGACTTGAGGACGCTAGTGTTATCTTACAAATTATATTTTCAAGGAATTTCTTTTTTCACATTAAGGCATTAGTTATGTTCTACGCAATTACAGATCATTTTGGAATTCATGTTTTGATTGTGAACTCCTAAGCATATGTTGGTGCAAATGTTCATTAATACCTTAATTTCAGAGGCTGAACTCCCAAGTTGATGATGTTCTTCTTTTGATTTGTTGTATCGGTCAATTACTGATTTCATGCTGGAAAAGTCATTGAAAATAAAAATGTGTCAGATTTGTCCTTGTTGACTGTAACATTCAATAAAAGAAACTTGGATCATGCTATGCGGATTACAGACAAATATTTATACGTCAACAATAATCTTGTGAGTTATGAAACTTTTATCAATTTATGAACTGTTTCACATCTCTAAGAATGTGGGTTTGGGATATATGCTTTAATTGACATGGCAATATCTAATCTCTGTATATGTGTAACTTTAGAAGTTACCCTCTGTTTGATAAAAATTGGGGGTAAATTGTGTTGTAACTCATCACTTTAGGTATTCAGGAATGTTATTTATGACTGCAATGTACACGTCAATCATTTGGAACTGTGATATTTTTTTACCTGATCTTAAAGTTCTGCATGCTACAGTATGTCTTATTGGAATGACCAAGTTCAAACTTCAAATGGTCCTGGCCAAGGCTAGTTTCAAAACTATGCCTGGAGAGATTAAGTCAAAGACCTAGAAAAGAATGACTAAGTTCAAATTGGCAATGGGTTGGATTGTGTTATTTGGCTGGACTGCTGGACTTGCTTCAAATAAAACATAAAGTGTTCGGTATGTTTTATTTGAAGCTAAATTTAAAGCTATGGTTGTTATATATCTGAAACTTGAATGGTTGATTGTTCCACTTGGTATCTAGTTGCTCAACTCGGGTCTTTGCACCACTAGAATTATGTTTGATGAGATCAAAGTGTCTTGAAAGTTGCTATTTCATGACTTCTTGCTTGCAAGTTTTCATCTCAAGGAATGCTCAAAGGTAATGTTGTCTTCATTCTATGGCATGTCCCACTTACCCTCTTCTTAGTTTAGAGGAGCGGCCAATGGTCCTAGAATGTGGGTGGAGAGCCTATGAAATGCTTTAATTTTAAAAAGTGGTTTTACGGTTTGGGGTCTATTTGAAAATGTTTCTCTTCTATTGAAGCTTGTGGAGGGACAAGGATTTGAGACTTTGGCCATGTGTCTCGTAAGGGTGGCTACACTTCTAGTTATCTGTTAGATCATCTTAATTGTTGGGGGCTTTCATTTGAGCATTGCCAAGAACATGTCGACCAAGATTTCAAAGTTGCATATATGAGGATTAACCCTTATCATATTCTAGTGTTACTTGAATACTTTCTCAAGGTTTCAAACATTCAGGGTCTTAACTATTGTGTTGTTGATGCAGACCTAAAGCATCTTCCCAATTTGTCTATTAAAGATATCCTCATAGTCAGGTTGATAATTTGCTTTTGCGTTTTCTTATGGATATTTTGTCGTCACTTAGGGATACATTGGAATTTGATCATATCTTAGGTAGGCATCCATAAAGGAGGAGGCAGTAGTTTTTGATTGGTAGATTGATGTTGGGAAGTAGGTAGGAGCTGTTTTGTCATTATATTTAGGTTGGTCTAATGAACACCTACACTATTTCTTGTTGGCCCACAATAACTAGGTGGACTAACATATATGATGACCTACTTTTTAGTTACCTATTGATCGTTTTGGTTGATCCTATGTTTCATTACACTCTTGGCTTGACAACTGGGTGAACAAAAAGGAACTAGTACTAGAAGGTTGGAATCTATCTTTGGCGTGTTGGCCATAAATAGAGCAAAGAGGTCTTGGTTCTTGGAGAAGTGTGATTATCTAGTTCTTGATAGTTGAGGTCAGGTTGTAATCTATCCTTGGTCCTTGCTCATCTTTGAGCCTTGGACGGCAGTGTTGCTAAGTTGTGGTTGATGTGCTCTTCATTTGGTTGCAAGCAAAAATCTGATTATGATTGCTTCCTCCATGTCCAACTTGGCTAGGAGGACATTTGGTAGTTCTTAGCAGCTGGGTTGGGTGTTTGAGTTGTACAGTTTTTAGTTGTAATTTGATTGCCTATGGTTGTTGAAGTCATTTTTTTTGTAAGGAACTAGGTTGCTAGGTTTGAGGTTCACCATCTGGCCAAAGGCATTTAGGAATAGGCGACCAAGGATGACATTAGGTTGATAGGCATTAAGGGCTCCCTTGGTGGTTGTGGGGTGGCACAATTTTTCATTCTCAATAGTAGAATCGGTTTTATTCAAAGTGACGATTCCAAAGGATTTTTAATTTTTTTTATAATTTATTGTTCTTTATTTGATTGATAATGAGTTTTAATATTTTTAAAGGTTACTCAAATAAGTGTGTAAAGTGTTAAAGGATTAAACTTATAAGTTATATTATGCTGTAAAAAAGGGTGATTAAGTACAAACTACGGGATAAAATTAGAATTACAGAAAATCAATTTTGTTTAATGTTAGGAAGGTTTACAATAGAACTTATATATCTTTACAAAAGTGGATAGAAAAATATCACTAGAAAAAAAAAACTTACGTGTGATTTTTATTGACTTGAAAAAAAAAATATATTAATGTGTTTCGAAGTGCTAAAAAAGACTTCAAAAAAGAAAGAGGTTCATGTAAAATATATATTCAAGTTATAAAAAACATGTATGAGAGGTTAACTACACGTGTAAAAACTTTTGAAGATGTATGTAAAGATTTTCATATCAAGTAAGACTTACATCAAGGTTTCGTTTTAAACCTTTATTAAACCTAGTCCTAAATGTGTTTGAGTGACATTCAAAAGATTATTTTGAAGTACATGTTCTTTTCGGACAATATAGTATTGATTAATGATTTAAAAGAAAATGTTATTGCTTATGGAAGAAGACTTTAAAATTTAAGGGTATTTGTTTGGCCAAAAGTAAGACAATATATATACATTGCAATTTTAAATAAAAAACAAGATGAAAATTGTGCATTAAAAGTTAAAATTAGATATATTATATATTACAAGTCTTTAAATTTAGGAATTGAGGATTCATTCTATAGAATAATGAAGAAATTAATAAAAATTTTGTTCATAAAATATTAGCTAAATGGTTAAAGTAAAAAAAGACAATTAGGAATTATTTGTAACTAGGAGATATTTATCAAGTTAAAAGAGTAGTATTATCATTTTGCAATATAAAAGTTTATCTAATATGGTAATGAATGTTGAATTTTAAATGAATAATGCAATAAAATTTTTAAATTGACATAAATAAAAATATGAATATGAAGGTGGATAAGTAGTAATATGAAAAAGAATAAGATAAGGAATGATTGTATATATGAGATTGTTGAAGTATCATTTATATTAAAAAGAGAAATACTAGCATTGCATTTTTATTATTGGCTAAAATTTATTGAAAACTAAAAAAGTAGGAGAAAAAAATATTAATTTAGGAGTGAATATGATTTTTAATAAATTGTAGTCAATAGTAGGAGGGGTGTTACAAAGAATATGTTGCTAATATTTCTACATGTGATCATTTGTATGATCTATTATTTATACAACTAACTATAGTGAGATAAAGCTTGATTATTGTTATGGTATTAGGGCTATTTGTTTGTAGAAATAATTTTTGCCTTTATTTTTACTTTTTGTTATTTTTATATTATTAAAGATTTGTAAAAGTATTAAAATAACTTTCTTCAGTATTTTTGTGTAAATCTTTGAAAACAGAAAGAGAATATATTGGTGACAGTAAACAAAAATCATTACTTAAAATCTAACTGTCACATTTTTTCTGCCTGTGTGCGCCTTTTAAGAGGCAAATTATACTTCAACCATGTGGAGATATTTGGTTCTTTCAAGACTTTTCACGTTCTATTTTTCTTTTTCCTCATGTTTCAGCTGAAGCAGAGATCAATTTTTGTGTTGCCATGCCTTTCAGCCATGCAGTTTTAATGCAAAAACATGAGCCTGAAACTAGTGTAATTTTTTTTATAGTTTGATTGGTTAATTGTTATGGAATAGTGTAAATGATCCAAGCCAATGTTGATGCTGACGGAGTTCTCTGTAAGAAAATGATTTGTTGCTTCAATAAGCATATATTTTTTGTAAATTGTCTATGATAATTGATTTATTATTTTTTTAATATATAAATTGAGTTTCTTATTTATAAACTTAAGAGTAGAATTTGAAAAAAAATCGGTATTGGATCACATATATAGGACTAATTGGAATATTATCTTGCTATTGAAGATGTTCATAGGTCATAAAGGTTTATTTGCATGCAAGGTTATGAAGGTTTATACGAGGATTCAACCATATGTCATGGCATGTTCAAAAATCTATATTTATAATTCAGTGTCTCGACAATAGTTCTCTAGAAGGTTGGATTGTTTAAAATTTTAAAGATAAATGCTTGTAAATAATTTATCTTAAGTTTAAAACTTCTCTAATGGCTTGTTCTATAATTATTTTTTGGAATTTTACCTCCCCTGTTACTGAAATTGGACCGATTTAGTTGGACTGAAAATTGGTCAATTAACTAGTTCAAATAACCTAAAAAATTTGAAACAAAAGTGGATAGATAATCGGCTATACCAGTAAAAATAGTTTTAAAAAATTGGTTTGAACTACATATGAAAAAATATATTTGTTTTTAAATTTTTTTAAACATCTTAATTCTAAAATATTTTGTAAAAGAGTCATATATACATGAGGTGAGTCTTATTATTTATTATATTAATATTATTTTATTTATTAAAAATATTATCATACAAGACATTAAATTTGGTTTTTTAATGTAAATTTAAAATTTTATATTAATTTATTGTTATAATGTGAAATTAACATAATTGTGCATAAAAATTTTAGATAAATTTAATAATCACGTACATATAAGATTATAGACAATATTTACATATATTTAAAAATATATTATACATTAAAATATAATTATTTAATGATATATTAATAGTATATTATTAATTAAAATACATAATTATTACTAGTTTAACTCTATTTTAATCAAAATTAAGCTAATCAAATGTGAATCAATGTTTTTATTTATTAATAATAGGTTAGATTTTTAAATATTGTTTCATTGTTTAATACATCTATTTAAGACTTGTATGATTTTTATAAGAAGCTTAAGAATAAGAAAGAGCATGAATATGATTAGTTTTTAAAAAC